CATCCATCCATCCATCCATTATGTATACCTGTTTATTCCTTTTCTAGGGTCACTGGTGCCCATATCCAGCAGTCACAGTGCGAGGGACGGGGGACACTCTGGACAGGTCACAAGTCCATCACAGAGACACATAGAGACAAACAACCATTCACTCTCTCACTCACACCTAGGGACAATTTAGAGTTATCAATTAACCTAACAGTCATGTTTTTGGTCTGTGGGAGGAAGCAGGAGTGCCCGGAGAAAACCCACGCATGCACGGAGAGAACATGCAAACTCTACCCAGAAAGGTTCTCGGGGCGGGATTTGAACCTGGTGACCTTCTTGCTGAGAGGCATCAGCTCTACCAACTGAGCCACCTTGCCACCACTTCATTAATCTAAAGTAATAATTTAATAAAAAGAACAAAGCATCAGATCAAATTACAGGCTGTGAGGCATCAAAACTGATAAAGTGGAATAAATCCTTTTGTATATTTTAAAGTATCTGAACAGCTGGTAGTTGTGCTTCACTTTTCTTCATACATTTTGATTTGCTGCTCTACCACAACTTTGGAAAAACCCTAAATATTCCAGATACCTTAAATAAAAACTCAAACCCTAACTTATAGAAAGAAGTAAAGGTTTCCCTGGTGAACAGAACATCCAGATGTGTGGTGAGTGTTGTTTTAAACATCCTCCATTGTTCCTGAGAACATCACTCACTGCCTGCTCTGACGTCAGGCGGTGGGGCTGTAGCTTCAGCCATCAACAACAAACCAGATCTCAACCAATGGAAGAAGGCATTTATCTCAAACACAACCTGTGGCTGGGCTGTAATCACTTCCTGTTTTCTTTCCTGTTCCACTTCACAGCTTCCTGTGACTACAGTGACAGTAATGTCACAGAGCTTTACACCGCTGAGCCTGATAAACCCAGTCAAGGACACACACAAACTGTGATAAACTGCCTTTTTTTGGTTATACTGAAACCAAGAGTTTCAGACCGTGCCCGTCTGGTGACATTGAAAAAAATAAGATTTCATGGCCATGAGATAACTTTTATCTCTCTTTGTGAGAGATGCAGATGTAACTGGAGTCAGATTATATACAGCCTATTGTTTTGTGCTTAACTGTGAACACGTAATTTTAATATTATTTAATATAAATAGTTCTTCAGTGTTGAGCTTCAGTAAAAGGAAAAGCTTTTTGGAC